GGGGGTCTCCGAAGACTATTTTGCCTTTAAATTGAAAAACACGACCCCCCCTTGACCACAACTAGGCTGTGAAAAGGTCAGAATTATGGGTTAAAACCCTGAAACATCCTGAAAAACATTGAAAAACCTTGAAAAACATTGAAAAACGCTGAAAAACCTTGAAAAACCTTGAAAAAAACTCGGGGAAAAGGAAAATCACCATTGCCCACTTTTGAAGCCCAGAAGTCACCGTTGCCCACTTTTGAGGCCAGGAAAGTCACCGTTGCCCACTTTTGAGGCCAGGAAAGTCACCATTGCCCACTTTTGAGGCCAGGAAAATCACCGTTGCCCACTTTTGAGGCCAGGAAAATCACCGTTGCCCACTTTTGAGGCCAGGAAAATCACCGTTGCCCACTTTTGAGGCCAGGAAAGTCACCGTTGCCCACTTTTGAGGCCAGGAAAGTCACCGTTGCCCACTTTTGAGGCCAGGAAAGTCACCGTTGCCCACTTTTGAGGCCAAAAAAGTCACCGTTGCCCACTTTTGGGGCCGAAAATCACCGTTGCCCACTTTTGAATTAGGGTTTAAATTCATTATGATAGAGAGGTTTAGGGTTTAGGGTTTAGGGTTTAGGGTTTAGGGTTTAGGGTTTAGGGTTTAGGGTTTAGGGTTTAGGGTTTAGGGTTTAGGGTTTGGGGTTTCAGGGTTTCGGGTTTCAGGTTTCAGGGTTCAGGGTTTAGGGTTTAGGGTTTAGGTCAAGCCCTCACCCTACCTTGAACCTCTAAGTCCTAAACCCTAAATCTAACCTTAGTGGACCAAGATTTGAAAAGCCTAGACTCCACACCTGCCAATACGCCCCCCAAAAAAGTCAAACAACAGAAATGCCTCCGAACTCTAAGGGTCCATGAACCTAATTATTATATACTTGGGCCTTGAAGTACCTCCTGTAGAGGGACTTTAGGGCCCAAGTATATAAGAATGAGGTACATGGACCCTTAGGGGAACTCTAGAATTCCGCAGGTACCCTCCCGCAACCACCACTCAGATAGCTCTAAACCCCAGGACCCGGAACGTTCTTGTGCCAGTGCCCTAACCCTAAACCCTAAACCCTAAAACCTCCCTGATGCACACCAGGGCCCTATAACTAAAACTCAAACCCTCAAACCCTCAAACCCTAAACCCTAAACCCTAAACCCTAAACCCTAAACCCTAAACCCTCAAGGCCAGGATTAATAGAAATTGTATGCTTCATGACGAAAAGCTCGTACAAAAATCCTGCATCCTTCACAGGGCACCAAACAAGACTTACCCCCTCACCCCCTCCTACCCCCTACCCCTTCCCGGCCCCCTACCCCCAACCCCCACCCCCTACCTGAGCAAACGCACCAAAACAAAACTCGGCCAAACCCCCAAAACCCGACAAAACTCCGGACACAAACCCTATACAATTTCTATAACCCTAAACCCTAAACCCCAACCCCTAACTCCTAAGCCACTTTCGTATATTGGGAATGGCTTTGGGGCTTCATGGCGCGGAGGTGGTTCCCTAAACCTACAAGTGTGCGACCTAACCTAAAAGTTTAGGGTTTAGGGTTTATGGGGTTTATGGGGTTTATGGGGTTTATAGGGTTTATAGTGTGTATAGGGCTTGTAGGGTTTATAGGGTTTATAGGGTTTACAGGGTTTACAGGGTTTATAGGGTTTAGGGTTAGGGTAAGCCCTCACCCTAAACCCTAAACCCCTAAACCCTAAACCCTAAACCCTAAACCCTAAACGCCTCAAACCCAATACCTTCAGACCTGCGAAGAAACTGTTTTGAGACACCCCAGATGGCCAATCCGAAGGGGATGTCCAGCCACATGCGCATCTGCGCATCTCCACGCCGAGGATGTTTAGGGTTTAGGGTTTAGGGTTTAGGGTGTCACGGCCCAAGTCATCCGGCTTAGCCGGCTTGGCCGGCTGGGACAGCTAATGACAGCTTCGCACCTAAACCTCTCAACCTTAAACCTTGCACCTGTCTCACGGCTTTCGCCACCCGGCTTGGCCGGTTCGGATATTCAAGGGATGTTTCGCAGCCTCTTGTTTCGGCTGTTTTCTCACCTGAAAGGCGCCTAAGTATAGTTCTAGTGCAGAGGAGTAGGCATTTCAGATAGAACTTCGGTAGGTAGATCATGGCACATCTTCTTAGATACACCTACCTTAAAGCTCTCTCTGCTCTCCTTCTTCAGCTCAACTTTATATATATATATATAAGAGACTTGATTTCAGGTTATCATGGCGCAAGACTTGATTTCAGGTTATCATGGCGCGGCCCGGCTGGATGGCGAAGGGATGCCCTGCATCCTCTCCCTTCTCCTCAGCTGCCTCCTCCGGCTCCTTCGCGTTGAGTTCAGGCCGCCATGCCTCTGCGGACTCCCTGAGCTCCAGCCTTACGGTTGGTTTGGGAATTTGGGCCCACCATCTATATATGTATGTATATATATATATATATATATATATACAAACGAAAATAAATAATATATATTTATATATTTATTTGTATATATATATATATATACGTATATGCCCTTTTAGGGATTATATAAACTACCTCATTCCCCCCAATTCCCCTACTAACCCAACAGCAAGCAGCCGGAAGAGCTCCGTGAAATGCTGGCAGAAGCTCTTCAGATCCAGGGAGCAGCCACTACCATGCTTCTGGATCATGTCGGCTAACCTTGCACGGAAACCCAACTCGTCTTCATCCTTCCTTGGCAGGCCAACTTTAGGGTTTAGGGTTTAGGGTTTAGGGTTTAGAGGTCTATCTTTTCTACACGGGAACCTGGAACTTCAAAAGCAAAACTCTGGAACGGCTAATGTAACCTTAAACTTGAACCGCTCCAGACCCATGAAAATGGAAATGGGACCCTGAACCCCAAAACCTAAACCCCTAAACCCTAACCCCTAAACCCTAAACCCTGAACTTGGCCTAGGCCGAACAGAAAAGGGTTTAGCGTGCAGGGGTTAGGCCGAAAACCCGAAACCCGAAAACGTAAACCCTAAAAGGTTTAGTGTGCAGGGGTGAGGCCGAAAACCCGAAACCCGAAACCCTAAACCCCAAACCCCCATCCCTACTAGCCAACAGTAAGAAATCCAAGCTTCTGGAAGCAAAGGCCGACCCCAGCAAGCTGTGTCAAGATGTCTTCGGCAGCGACTCGGCCACTTCCATTGACCTGTGGGTTTTAAGGGTTTAGGGTTTAGGGTTTGGGGTTTAGGGTTTAGGGTTTGGGGTTTAGGGTTGGGGGGGGGGGGGGGGGGGGGGGAAACAAGAATGTGAATTTCGTAGACCCAAGGGCAACCTAGGAATAAAACGGTGGCCTTTCTGGCTTGAAGGGGCTTTTCAGGGAACCTCAACCTGCCAAAAAGGGGAATAGGAGCCTTCTCTGTGTCCTACTTTCTATGGGTTTAGGGTTTTTAAATTTCAATAAGTGAAAACAAGGGCTATACAGGGAGGGATGAGGGCCAATGGAACGTTAAACTTTGTTCCAAGGCAGCCCAGCGGCATCGAGCTGCTTGAAGACAAGGGTAAGCTCTTTCTGGTCCATTGAAAGCACGCTTGCATAGCGGAAGTCTGTGTGCACAATCTGCTTCACCAGGGTCTTCATGAGCATGTGAGGCAAGCGGCGCACGTACACAACGACGGCTGTGGCAAAGCCCAGGAGCCAAAAGCTCAGAAGAAGCAAGCACACGGTAAAGTTCAACATTGCATCTGCCTTCGCGCCTCCCATGAAGAAAACAATCATCAGCATCAGTGTGGCTACCAGTGGGAACGTCACGCGTGACAAGTTGTCCACGTAGCGCGCGGCTAGGCTCGACACGTTGGCGCGCATGGCTTGCGCAAGGACATTCTCGAGCACGCTGGCAAACATGATGACCGTGACTGAGAACATCGTCACATCCATCCAGAGGAGCGATGAGGACTTCTTCGGAATCATGGTGTATGCCATGGTCCTGAAGACCTGCAAGGACAGGAAGGAGATGAAACCAGTGGCCACACGCGGCATCACCAGCTCAATGGGGATGAAGAAGCCCGCGAAGGGTATGAAGAGTAACGCAGTCAATGGCCAGAAGAAGCGCAGGATCAGGATGGAGACGCGCCTCTACGAAGTGCTTAAGAGTCCCCCCCCAAAAAAGTTAAAAAAAAAACATTCTTCCTTTACAAGGGAAATGTAGGGCTTCTTGTCTCTTGGGGGTTCTCAAGCAAAGAAAACCCTAAACCCCAAACCCCAAACCCCAAACCCCAAACCCTAAACCTAAACCCTAAACCCTAAACCCTAAACCCTGAACCCTAAAACCTAGGCCTCTGTATCTTGATGTTGATGCACAGGGCGCTCCCCATCTCCGATGCCACCTTCTCCCTGACGTCGACACTGACGACCTCAAAGCCCTGCCCCTCCATGCCAGCAACAAACTTCGATGACAGGATACCTTGGTATGGGGTTTAGGGTTTAGGGTTTAGGGTTTAGGGTTTAGGGTTTAGGGTTTAGGGTTTAGGGTTTAGGGTTTAGGGTTTAGGGTTTAGGGTTCGGGTTTAGGGTTTAGGGTTTAGGGTTTAGGGTTTAGGGTTTAGGGTTTAGGGTTTAGGGTTTAGGGTTTAGAGTTTAGGGCAGCCCAGGAACCAATTTACAACAAGGGTGGATTTTCTGGGGTTGGTTACTGTAACTGTATAATGACCCTAAACCTAAACCCTAAACCCTACCCTAAACCGGAACCTTGAACCAAAAAATGGGGAAAAAGTGCTCCCAGGATGCTTGAGATGTCGGATGCGCTGTCCCATCTCTCGGCCAGACCTAGACAAGGTCGAGGGTAGTAGGGTTTAGGGTTTAGGGTTTAGGGTTTAGAGTTTACGGTGGCCCTAAATGGGGGTTTACGACAATAACGGGACCCTGATAGAGTCCCAAAAGAATAGGACTCCCTTAGAAAAAGGACCCCAATCAGATCGGAAACCCCCAAATCCTAACCCTTAACCCCAAACCCAGACCCAAGGGTGTTCAGGGTGAGACGCATGAGTAGGGGAAGCCGGCATCTGTTTCTGGGAAGAGGCGTAGCCTTTGCTTGGCCCACCTATATAATGCCTGAACCCTAACAAGCGGCATCATCACTCTAACTCTAAACCCTAAAGGAACAAGCACGCTAAGCCATGAAGGCATAATCACCCTAAACCTTACAAGACTAGTCTCCCTAGACCTTAACGGAATAGCCAATAGCCCTTACAAACCTCTAGAGCTAACCAAGTCAAGTCGCGCTTGACCAAATCCTCACTCACCGATGCGTGTGCTGGGAGGGTGAAGTAGTCGAAGTTCAAACCTTAGCAGCCCAGCAGCCATATTACAATAAGGGCACCCTTTTTTTGGGTTGGTTACTTTACAAGGGAACCCAGAACCAAAAACGAAAAGGGTAAAGGGTACCACTGAGCTACCAAGAAACAGAGGTCAAGGGACTGCTGGTCGAAGGGAAAATGCTCATAGGAGAGGATCACGTCAAAGAAGGTCCGCGCTCTATCCAACCACACAGCCTCAAAAAACGTGCTCGAGTTTTTGGGCACCATGTAGATCACTGGGTCAAACTCTGTCTTCCCAAGAGGATTGTTGGAGGTCTTCAAGAAGAGGTGCGGGGGAATGGGCGTCCACACATCTTCAGAAATGACGAAACCGACATTCTCACCTTGGTAGCCCAAAAAACCATATTATAATAAGGGCACCCTTTTTTGGGTTGGTTATGTAACAAGGGAACCCATAACCAAAAAAAGGCAAAGGGTACCACTACCTACCAAGTCACCAAAGCTTCTGACAGCACGGAAGAAAGAGTTTGCCGTCTGACCAAAGATCCCTTTAATCCAGCCTTCTCCCCATTGCCTTAGTTGCTGAGTTGACAAGCCCCCCCAAAAAAAAAGGTGTACACTTTCAGTTCTATAGGGGATTTTGGAGTATCCCAAGAAGTGTAAAAAAAGTACTCACTCAGCTACGAAGTTGCAGAGCGCGCTGAAAGTCTTCGGTGCTGCAACCCCCGGAAGACGTGCAGATATCATTCACCTAATGGCAGAGTGCGCTCCAACGGCTATCTTACATCACCCAAGATGCATTTCCCTAAACCCTAAACCCTAAACCCTAAACCCTATTATAAAGCAGTGTGTGGGCATGACTCAACACACGGCAACAAAAAAAGCGCAGAAGACTGATGAAGATGCCCCGGATGCCAATTTCACCGACGCATTGAACCAACGCTGGTCCGGCCACTCCAGAAAGACCACGGCGTAAACGGCGAGCCGCTCGTTTGCTTCATCGAAGGAAGCCAGGTCCGACAAGCGTATCGAGACTTTCACAGGGTTGCTGGCGCGCTCTCCAAAGGGAGGCATGCCTGGCCCCGACCACCACTTTTTTTGGGGTGATGGAGTATTTATAGTTTTTGTTGTTGCTTTTATTATTATTATTATCTATAGGGTTTCTATAGGGGCTTTATTCATAGGGTTTTTCGGGTACGTGAGCCCCAACATTGGGATCATGTCCCCCCTACTGCGCAAATTGCTTGAGGATCTCTCCTATGGTCTCAGGACGTGAACCTCTGAGAGGTGGGACAGCAAACCCTAAGCCCTAAACCCTAAGCCCTAAACCCTAAACCCTAAGCCCTAAACCCTAAACCCTAAGCCCTAAACCCTAAACCCTAAACCCTAAACCCTAAACCCTAAACCTATATAAACCCTTTTCAGGGCTTCGTCTGGTCTCCAAGGTACGCGTGTCCACGGGAAAGGGCTCCGTTGAGTCCCATGGCCTGGTGGACTGAGCCGCAACGAGCGCAGCGCCCAGGAAGTACCAGGCCGCTCTCAACATGGCTAGGCCCAGGAGTAACCTAGGAACCCTAAACCCTAAACCCTAAACCCTAAACCTTAAACCCTAAACCCTAAACCCTAAACCCTAAACCCTAAACCCTAAACCTAAACCCTAAACCCTAAACCCTAAACCCTTTTGTTTTAACGGGGGCTTACATGGGAACCCAGACTTCTAAAAAAGGGGGAATAGGGGCCTACTCTGGTTCCTAGATGGAAGCCAAGCGCGGCTTAAGCCGTCTGAGCCAGGAAAACGCTGCACCTCAAGCCCTCAAACCCTAAACCCTAATCCCCTAAACCCTAAACCCTAAACCCTAAACCCCAACCTCCCACGAGGGCCGAAGCCGACCCTCAACACAGGACGACCTGGACGCCCAAAGAGCTTAGGCTAAGGGCTCAAACCATAAACCCTAAACGCCATAAAAACCTGCTAAGCCCTAAACCCCTAAACCCCTAAAACCCCTAAACCCCTTTTCCAAATCTAAACCCTAAACCCTAAACCCCTAAACCCCTAAACCCCTTTTCCAAAAAAAAAACCTAAACCCTAAACCCCTAAACCCCTAAACCCCTAAACCCCTAAACCCCTAAACCCCTAAACCCCTAAACCCCTAAACCCCTAAACCCCTAAACCCCTAAACCCCTTTTCCAAATCTAAACCCCCAAAACCTTAATTAGACCCCTAAACCCCTAGGATTGTTACTGTTTAGGGTTTAGGGTTTAGGGTTTCAAGTTGTAGGGTTTAGGGTTCTTTGGCAATTAGAAGCCCTCGGCATTTGCAGTAGAACCCCATGCTCTCCTAAACCCTAAACCCTAAACCCTAAACTCGAAACCCTAAACCCTAAACCCTAAACCCTAAACGCTAAACCCTAAACCCTAAACCCTAAACTCTAAACCCTAAACCCTAAACCCTAAACCCTAAACCCTAAACCCTAAACCCTAAACCCTAACACTAAGTCGAGATGGAATTGGCTCAGCCGAGGTGCTGCTCAGGGTTAGCGCAAGCGAGGCTCCTGTGTGGGAACATAGAGCTTCTGGCCTCAATCCTAAAACCCCAAACCCTCCCCAACCCCAAGCCCTAAGCCCAAAACCCAACAACATCCTTGGGCTTAGGGTTTAGGGTTTAGGGTTTAGGGTTTAGGCTGTTTAGGGTTTAGGGTTTAGGGTTTAGGGTTTAGGGTAAACCCCCCAAACCCCAGACTCTAACCCTCGACTCTAGCACTCCTTGAAACAGCTACAGGAGCTTCGCACAAAAACATTCAAAGAAAGGCGCCGACCGGAGTCCTAATTTTTCCAGTTTAGGGTTTGGGGTGTGGGATTTTGGGGTTCCGGCCCCCCGCACAGACTTTCCGTACCCTCACCCTCCGAGCCCCCAAGCAAACGCAGAAACCTGTTCATTCCTTTAGCAATGCTTGGGAGTCCTTCCTCAACCCTACGCCCTAGGACGCGCAACGGACACTAATCAGTTTCATGCATTGAAGGAGCCAACCGGCTTCATCAGCCCGTCCGCGCTAGGACCAATTACGGTTTGGGTTTAGGGTTCAGGGTTCAGGGTTTCTACGGTTTAGGGTTTAGGGTGTAGGGTTTAAACCCTGAACCATATTTAGACACCAACAACTGCAACTCCCGAAGCATGCCGAACCCTGAACCCTGGGTCCTGGGAGTCTTCACCCTGCTCTGGAGGCCCCAAAGTCTTCTGCAACGAGCCTGCGGGTTCAGGATTCGAAGGATTGTCGCAGCGCGGTAGAGGAGTCTCGCACGGGATATTGCAAAAAGGACACAGGCAAGATGCACGCCTTGTTTCAGAACGCACACTTTTTTCAAATCTACAAGACTCAGTAATCGACCGGTCGTTTAGGCATTGCCACGCGATGGTCGCCAACTCGACGACCTGGAAAACAACGCGGGCCAAGCTGCCATACCCATTGTTTCACCATGGGCTGCAATGTATGCATAAAGAAACAACTCCACTCACAATGGCACCGACTCCTGCTAAGGTTGCTTTAGCAGTGAGCGCCGCAAGCAATGTTGCTTTCATGGCGGCAGCGCTGGCGGCAGCGCTGGCAGCCTTCGCTGCTAGCGCACCCCCGACGCCCCACAAAGTGGCGCCTAGAGCGGCAATAACACCAGGCGGACCAAAGTGTAGGAGAACGAGTACTTTTGCCCCAACCGCTCCACCAATCATCAAACCACCAATTTGGCCAAAGCCTGTCGTATCTGCTGCATCGGTTTCAGCGGCCACATGGAGTGCCCACAGGTTTGCAGCAAAGATGCAAACGAGCCCGCCAGTCAGAAGGTCAAAATACCTTGCTGCAGCTTTACCCTTGCCAGTACTTTTGGGTTGGCATGCCAAGGCGTGGTCATATCGTCTCGTTCATGTTCGACCTCGCCTGGCGTGGTCATATCATCTCGTTCATGTTCGACCTCGCCTGGCGTGGTCATATCATCTCGTTCATTTCATGTTCGACCTCGTCTGGCATGGTCATATCACCTCGTTCCTGTACAACCGCGCCTGGTGTGAATGCAGGGAGCAGGCCAAGATAAGCAGCGAGAGCATGCCGAGACTCAACAGAGCTTTCTGCAGCTTCCTGTGGCGGACACCCTGCATGGCTGGATGATTTCTCTGTCCTCTACTTTGATCCCAAAAGCTGCAAGTCTCGTTCCATTAAGGGACCACTTAGGTCCGTGCAGAAGCATAGGCGACTGATCTGCACGGTTGCAGTAATTCCTGTCAGGTGCCGTCGGCAGCACCAACACTAGAACGGGCAGACGGGCAGAATGCGCACCTCTGCAACCAACACATGGCGAGTACGCCGAAGGGCGCGGCGTGGCTTGTTTAGGGTTTAGGGCTTACGGTTTAGGGTATAGGGCTTAGGGTTTTTGCGTTCTGTGCTAAGGCAGTTTCATCAACACCTTCTTTCCGACTGGGTTGGGTAGCTTTTGGGAGAGGTTTGGCTCTATCCTTTTGGTGTGCTACGGGTGAACTCGAGAATGCTTCAGGATCGCGGTTGACTCTTGTCCTTGGCTAGCAGTGCTGAGAATGCAGGGACCGGCCAAAGACACCCACATGCGCAAGCAAGAAATGCAGGGACCCAAGGCCGAGGCCTGGCACATGAAAGGGCACAAAGGGCAGACAACAACCCTAAACCCTAAACCCTAAACCCTAAACCCTAAACCCTAAACCCTAAACCCAAAACCCAAGCGAAGACGTTTAGGGACCTTTCCAAGCCACCCACACGAAGGGGGATGAAGGGGGACAAAGGGGAGGCAAGCGGAAACAAGGAGTGCCGGGACCCGGCCAGAGCATCCGGGGGTTTAGGGTTTAGGGTTTAGGGTTTAGGGTTTAGGGTTTAGGGTTTAGGGTTTAGGGTTTAGGGTTAGTCTGACAAACAAGAACGCCTGCGGTAGACTGCTGGGGGAAGAAAAAGACGAGCTAAGCCAGGCTTGTCTTCCGCGGGCGGCGCTGAGGACAACCTAAACCCCAAACCCCACCAAACCCCAAACCCCAAACCCCAAACCCTAAACCCCAAACCCTAAACCCTAAACCCTAAACCCTAAGCCCTAAACCCTAAACCCTGGGCTTGGTGGGGGCCAAGGTTGAGGGCTTGGGGGTTTGGAGCCCCTCGGGCCGAGGCAGAGGTCACCAGCTGGGCGGGACCTACTTTCAGCCCAGGGCCCCAAATGTCCCACACCACAAACCTACTAAATGCCCCGGGTTTAGGGTTTAGGGTTTAGGGTTTAGGGTTTAGGGTGTAGGGTTTCGGGTTTAGGGGCGAGGGCTCCCCTGAGACAGAGCACGGGGTTTCTGGGGTTTAGGGTTTAGTTAGGGTTTAGGGTTTAGGGTTTAGGGTTTAGGGTTTAGGGTTTAGGGTTTAGGGTGTAGGGTGTAGGGTTTAGGGTTTAGGGGCGAGGGCTCCCCTGAGACACGATGAGCCCTTTGCTCAAAGCTACGAAGGCAAACAATCCCAAACCCTAAACCGACATTACCAAAAACCAACAGACTCCCCGAACCCGAGATTTTGTACAGACTTCGGGCTTCAGGGTTTAGCTTGGGGCTTGCAGGGCTTTTTCTGCTTTGGCATTCTAGGATTCAGGGTTTGGGTTTTCGGGCTTCGGGTTCAGGGACTTGTGTTGGCTTTGGCGCCTCAGTCTCAGGTTCTTAGGGCGTAGTCGGGCATCTATGAGCTGGAACCTGCAGTACCGTAAGCCCTGCGTTTAGGTTTAGGCTTTTGGGGGTTAGGGTTGGGCCATGAACCCTGAACCCTGAACCCTGAACCCTGAACCCTGAACCCTAAACCCTGAACCCTGAACCCTAAACCCTGACCCCTAAACCCTAAACCCTAAATCCGCATCTTTCTTCCACTGGCTCTGCTTGGCAGAGAGGGAGGGTTCTTGGGCTCAGAGATCAGCTTTGTCTCCATTTCTCCTGCGCCTGGTGAAGGCCCGATGAAGTGCTTCTTGGGGTTGGGGTTTAGAGTTTAGATTTTAGGGTTTTGGTTGTAGGGTTCAGGGTATGAAAGATTCCCCCCCCCCAAAAAAAAAATTTTCCTTTCTATCGGCTTCCCGTTTGTCTCCATCCGCCCCCCTACGTCCAAGATGAGAGTGCATGGTTTAGGGCTTAGGGTTTCGGGTGGAGGGTTCAGGATGGCTCAGGGTGGAGGATGGTGGAGGCATTTAGGGGCACGTTGCACAATCTTGGCGAACAGACACAGGCCCTATTCACGAAGGTGATGTCTGCTGCTACTCCGCCAGCAAATCCTTTGAGACTGCAACACGCTGCAAGAGTTGCATCTGACCCATATTGTTACTTTTTAGGGCAACCTGACTCAGAAATCCGCCGGCCGTAGGTGTATGGGTGGCGCAAAGCAGGCACCCCACCTGTCATCCCCTCCGCTGCAATGGGTATCCCCGAGGCCAACGCTGACGGCACAACAGGACCGCACCCCACCCCCCCCCCCCCCCCCCCCCCCCCCCCCCCCCCCCCCCCCCCCAACCCCGCCCACCCCT